ATATATATATTAGTTACATTTAATTCTTGTTAGAGGTTTTAACTGCTGGCGATTTTTGACGATGAACTCGTATGTCTTTTGTATTTCAGACATTGTTGAAAGTGATTCAGTTTTCACAGGTTAGATTTCTCGAAACCAAAGAGATTTTCCAATCGATTGAAAATGAATCGCGATAAGCTGTTTTCCCGACATGTGCTTCTTCACTACTTCGACCTCAAGAAAACTGCAGTTAAAACGCGTTTATTATTCGAAGTGTATGGTGATAAAATTCCATTGGAAAAAACATGTAGAGTTTGGTTTGAATTCTTTCGAAATGGAGATTTTGACGTGAGATGAATGAAGAACGTCCCGAACAATCGAAAAAAATTTGAATATGTCAAGCTGCAAGAATTGATGAGAATCCAACTCAAACACTTTTAGAGTTGTATTCATTCATTTTCGGCAGGGTTGGGTAAGTTAATGTTTTTTTTTAACTGAATGAAATTAAAATTAATGGCTTTACAAAATTAATAAAGTTAAATTAAAAGTTGAAGGAATAAAAAATTAACTTAGCGTAAGTTAAGTCAATATATTGAATTAACTTCAGTTAAAAAAAAGTTAATTTTGAAAAAAATTATTTTTTAGATCAAAATGTTCTAATTTTTCTTAAAATGAGATTAAATAATTACAATGTAGATTATTAAGTAAATTAAATTTTTAATTTTTTTATTCATATGTTATATAAGTATATAACACATAATATAACTACGAGTATATAAATTATATAACTTTAAAAAAACAGCCAGCACATAGAGAAGATACAAGATCAATGATTACTTTTTAATAAGTCTTAAGCCATAAGAAATTGACCAATTACAATCGAATGTGAGAAGAATATTTGATTGTAATTGGTCAATTTCTTATGATTTAAGACTTAAAACATCTATTATAGATCCGGACTAAGACTTATGACATAAGGCATAATCGTATAAACCAATTAGAAGGCTGTATTAGCATCTTAAGAAATTAAGATCTTAAAATATGAACAGATTACGAATATACGACCTTAGTCTTATTATATCTTATTATTTTTCTAAGATATTTAAAAGAGATAAAAATTGTTTAACTTAAAAAAAAAGTTAAAAGTTAACGTTTAAAAGTAACTAGTTAAGTTAAAATTTAAAATTAACTAAGTTAAAAGTTATTAACTTTTAACTTTTTTTTTAACTTTTAATGTTTTAACTAATTTCTATCCTGATTTTAGGTATTCATCTCACCCTTCGAAACAAATCAATTTTGGAGACAAAAACTGGCAGGAATTAAGTTTATCATCTAATAATAAACGTGAAACCATGAAAATAACCAAGGTTGTCACAAATTCCTCATCTTAAAAAGTAAAACTCCATAACAGTTTTCTGATTTCAAGATAAAATTTCATGATATTCTCTGATTAATATTTTGAAATTTTTTATATTTTGATCCTGATTTGTAAATCGTTAAATATTTTGTTGACAAATAAATTTAACAGAGCAATGTAAATTATTATTAATGTTGCTGACACTGTTCGCATTTTTAATTGTATGTAATAAAGTTAGTAGTATTCCTGAACTGGGTAGATGTGACGTAATTTTAATTTTCCAGAAAATTTTGCAAAATTCTCTAACTTTTCTCTAATTTCCTTAACCGTTTTCAATTTCCCTGATTTCTCTAATTTTTAAATTTTAAATTCTGATAATGATATAAAACGCTTGAACATTGATGACAAAAAGTTTTAACAAAAAGTTTAATTTTCTAGTATCTAATTAAAGCGTCCTAATGACTTTGATGATTAAAATAAAATTATTTTCAGATATGTATCTAGCTAAATTTTTAAATACTTTATGAAAACGATTTTAATAAAATTGTTCTTTTCATATAATATAATCCGCGAATAAAAGAAATAGTTTGATAATTAAATTTCAAATCAATTAAATTTCATTTAAATTATTCTAAGTTGATTTTTTTCCTTTTAAATTGCAACTTTCTGTGATTGTAAGCGGATGGCTTCCGCGGATACACATGTATTAAAATCCGCAAATTTCATTAAGCCCGAGATGCCGGATTCAAAGTAACAATCGATCGCCGAGAGATGCCTCGAGAGAAAGAGAGGCGTACCTCGGTCTTCGCATTAACCCCGTTTCACTGCAGATCGTTGTGCAGCAAGCGTGCGCACATTATCGGGAGATGCGACGCCGCGTGCATATATCCTTGGTTTCCCGGACCACATGAAAACCTATATTTTCCCAGACGGAAAATCGATGTTACGATACGACGCGCAAATCTCTCGCTCGCGCAAGAAGATTCCAGTGAATTCCAATCCCGGCGCCGCCAGGCAAGAACTGAGGATCGCTGTGCAACAACTAACAACACAGAATTCCAGAGGATGTCTTGAGGACGTCCATGTGTCCTTTGAACATCCTAAGAACATCCCTTTATCCCGGATAAAGTGTGTTATTAGAAAAGTTTCTCTCCAAGAAACTTAAATTTTCAATAAATATCGTTATTCTTGTACATGCAGATAAACGAGTGACCCAAAATATACGATAATTTTTTTCTCCGAAAAGAATGGCTTGACTAAAATATCTAAACATTTAATTAGTACAGATCTGAAAATATCTAAGGAAGATACAATTTTCACTTTTCGAGACCGTTCGAGGATTGTTTTATTTTTACATTTTTTTACTTATTTTTCATAGAAACCGCAAGTTATTATAACAATGACACTATATTCAAGAAAAAATTGATACATTGAAATAAACAATAAAATTCTTATTCACATCATCGTTATGAAATCGCTATCAGTATATACTTCAATAATTTAAAAAGTCAAAGCAAAAAAATTGTACTGTCTTTTGTTGGATCATTAAAATAATTATACAGAACGCTTAACACATTCTGTGCTGGAATGTATTAAATAATACTTTAACTATAAAAAAGAACGTAGTGTAAAATATTTTTTGATGTCATATATATGTGGATATATAATTATATGATATATGACGCAATATTGTACATTAGGATTTCTTCTTTCTAATAATTTAAATTGTAATTTTATCGAATCATGGAATGGTTCAATAAAATTACAATTTAAATTATTAGATATTATTTAAATAATTACATATTATTTAACTATATCATATTATTTAAATATAAGAAACGCAGAAATACTGTAGGTCACTGATAATCCATGCGACGCGGCACGTGATGATCAAAATTACTCAATTTTACATACGACGATTTCTGATCCTTTACTACGTTTACACAGATCGTTCTTGTCCCGAATTAATTTTCATAATTTTTACAAATATAAAAAAATTATTAAGTAATGCGTAAAATAATTAAATAATGCGTGCTTGCTGCATAAAGTTTTGACATTTTAGCAAATAGTTGAATGGCATAATTATTTTGACCCAAACAAAATTATTTCCAAATCTATATGATTAAAAATTTTTTAGATATTTCAGCAAAACCATTGTTTTCGTGTATATACGTATAACACTCGCATGGAAAAAACAGTATCTAAAAATTGGACTAGATACAAATAAGAAGAATTTTATTAATCTTTAAAATTTTTGGCCAGATGCAAATCTGAAAATAATTTTGTTAAGCTATCAAAATAATTATATAAGACCTTTAAATCGTTAGAACATAAAAAATATTTGCATTATTATAGCAACATTATCGTTACTTAAGTATTCTATATATATTTTTATTATTTTGATAGTCCAACAAAACTATTTTCAGATTTGCATCTGATCAAATTTTTAAAGACTTCAACAAAATTCTTTCCGCCCACATTGATTTCAATAGCACTATAGGAAGTAATCGCATATGTCGCGACTTGTCACAGTTTTTCTGGCAATAGAAAATGACGTGACCGAAATGCGAAGTAAAATGGGTTAAAATTAGGTTGAAAACTCTACACTACTGACCCGAGCCAGATTCTATAATTGGAATAAGGCAAAATGTTTGCCGATGAACTGTCTTGCATGTCGACCTTGTCTTGAAGTTGCCTTATTACATATTAATAATACAATGTCCTGACCTACCATCCTGCTTTGGCTTAATGTGCAGAATCCCAGATTTACCTGTGCCCTAGTTCGCGCTTATCACTGCGGGCGCCGTGTGTGCCCTCGTTGTAGCTGTCCAGGTCTTGTTCGCTACGATCGTTCCTGGTCAGTCCTACTTTAAGGCCAAGTATGGTACGATGGATCGATTCCTCGGGGAATATATTCGAGTCGTCCGGGAATCGCACCCTCGGTCCTGCATTGTGAAATTCGTGTCGTCTTCGTTGGCAATTAAAGGGGTCAGGATTCCATGATAATAAAAAGTCTGTTTTCTTCAACTAAACTTCTTGTACGGTTCATCTTTCCTCATTTTCTCTCAATGTTGGGAAGAAAAAAAAAGAAAAAAACATGAATGATGTAAGAAGTTTAATTAAAACAAACAGGTCTAAAGTAAGCTCACAATTTGCATTTTCACGTGGTGTTCTTAATAATAAGAGCAATGAAATATGAGATAGAATTGAACAAAATGCGAGATAGAAATGCAATGTTAAATTTACGGCTGCAAGTCTACATTATAGGACCACAAACTCCGACATACATTGAGAAAAAAAGTCGAAATATTCAGAAGCAAATGTTACTACAATATTAATTAGTTGTAAGAAAATTTAACTATGATCAGAAGAAATATATATTTCTATAAAATATATCTCATGTTTCTTTACTAATTATAAGAAAATAAAATAGATGATTTATCAGCTAGGAATAAAATGTTATTTTTATGTCATATTTAAAGAATTCATATTTTGTCATATTTTAAGAATTTATTTCAGTGAAATAAACATTCATTTTTTCAGAAATAATCCATAATTAAATTTTTAAATATCTTTTTCTTAATGTATAACTGAAGGAAGACAAAAAATCCGCGCAAAATAAATCCGTCTAATATTTACTCGGTATTTAAACTGGATTTTACAGAACTTATCTCGTTGCATTGAATCCTTCCGTCTTCAAAGAAGTTATTTATTCTCTAAAAATGAATCAGTGCTACATGATTTCAATGCTACATTTATAACTGATATAATCATCAGCAAATATTTACTGTTTTTCAACAATAATATTGATTCACTTTTTAGAAAATAGAAAAAAATGTACCGATAATTACGCCGATAATTAAGAAGCTTGCCTCCGCAATATGGCGTATCTCCTTAAATATCATTTATCGCGCGAGAAATTTTCCATCGTAAACGATTACGTTGACTTTTATTATGACAGATTAAACATATATGGAAAAAACTTGCTGAATTATCTAAAAATTTAATTATAAGATATACGTAGATCTAGAAATAAATTTATTGAATCATAAAAATTATCTATATAGAAACTTAAGAAATATATTGCAAAAAGTTTTGACATTTAAGCAACTCAGCTTCTCAGACAATACACCTCTGGACATTTGAAGGACATCGAGGAAGTCCTCTGGACATTCATTGGGTGTATTGCGCTTGGATATATCGCAAATGTCCTTTGAACATCTAATGAATGTGTGCTGTATAAGTTGAACATTCTACGTAATTAGTTTGATAGATCAAAATTATTTTCAGATCCGCATCTATAGCTAAATTTCTAGATACTCCAGTAAAATTGTTCTTTCCATGTATTAACGTCTAAATAAATCATTGTGCGATCTAAAATTCAGAGGACGTGTTTGCAATACAACTACATTTTTGAAAAAAAGAAAAAACAAAGAAGATAATTACCAATAGCGTTGCTTGCCGGCGTAATGACCACATCAACATTTCGCTGACTCATCGCGCCAATTAATTACGGTGCGATTTGTTAATTTCCTCTTCAACACGAGCGATCGAAATGCGTCGCGAAGATCACGAAAGTATTCTTAATTATAATCCTCAACTTCCGTCCCGCACGAGTGACAAAGTCATAATGATGGAATAATATAACTGGTACAACAACTTTCGACCGTGAACAAACAACACGATTTGTCTGACGAAAGCACGGCGAAGCGATAAGAATGCTACGGATCAGGTCCCAAGGGTCAATTGCGACAGCGATCGAGAAAGCAAGAATAATCGCGGTTCGCGTGATATGCCATGATTTTCATCGTTTTCTTACGGGCGTGAAGTCGGGTCAGAAGGCGAGATTGAACAAATGCGCGAAAGCGCCGTCTGCCACACAGCAACATACGTGTGCTTTACTATCGTTGGCCTTCAAAGACTAATAAATATTGCAAAATTAGCCATGTATGAAACAGTACGTGTTCGGATATGTTTTCGAAACGTGGCGTATCTCGATACTGCCCTCAGCAGAGATGACGTGGTAGCACATATCAGTATTCAGTTTTTAATTATATTCACATATTGGATTATTTTAAAATTCCCCTTTGCATAAATTCCTTTCTATATTAAATTTTTTTCATGGCTTTTATTATTTTTTGTATTAAATTAGGCAATCATTTATCGAATAGAGAATTTAATAACAATTTATTTTCAGGGACTCGGTATAAAAAAGATTACAGATGACGCGCATCCTTTATTATCTAGACTAGAAGAAAGTCGCAATTACTGACATAGGTCTTCTAAAGACTATTTATTTCTTGAAAATTAACTATCGCAATTTATTAATACTGATAAAAACATAAAATATTTATATTATATTTACATTAGATAATTAAAGAAGTAAAAAGACTCATAATTCATATTTATAATAATTCTATATTTGTATCTCTATTCAAAATCAGCTAAAAATAAATTCTACAAATGCGAAAATAAAATTCTTATGATTTTCTTTTGTAAATGCATAGTATAAAGTGTAAATAATAGTGACAATATTATTGATAATATTATAGCTTTATTATAGTTTTAATTTCTTAAATCAGTTTTATTTATATTTTCTTTTTCCATTTTTTTCATAATATGATATTTTAAATATATACAATATTTTATTTAAATATATAATAAATTTAAATATATAATATATAATAAATATATAATAATAGTAAAAAACAGGCAAATCGTAAGACAGATCATAAGCTAACTTAATCTTTATAATTTTGCGTTATAGTGTCAAATAGCCCTATTGAAGTTGAAGGTAATTGTGTATTTATGGGTGCTTTCCATTTAATTACACAAGTCGACACAAGTATCGTTCTGTCTTTGTTATTCATGGAATGCAAAAAACGACATTTATGTCGATTTGTATTATTAAATGGAAGGCATTCTTTATATTGGGTTATCTGGAAAGTTCGTGCCGATTTTGAAGGAAAATTGAAACGCAGAAGATTTAAATTTTAGTATACATTTGTTAAATCTTTTGCGGCACGAACTTTCCGGACAATCCAATAGAAAAAAAACAAACTGTATTATATGTTTGTGTCTTGCAAAACAGCATAAAGTGCATATAAATTAACAAAAATATTTTATATTGAAGAAGTGAAAAATTTATATAAAATTTTGTATACATTCACACCTACATTACTTGTAGGTATTTTATATGATTTCTGTAAAAGAAAATAAGCGAAGAACGATCATTTTGCTTATCTTTCGAAAAAGTTCACTGTTACAAAATTGCAAATGTAGTATAAAAACTGCTGAATTATCTGACAGTAAACTTTCTAATTTATTATTTATGTTTCTGAAGTTTTATTTTTTAGTTTTAAGTTATGTTTAAGAAATATTTTCTAAAAACAAAGTAGTGCGTCAGTATCGGAGAGAGGCCTTTCTCTACTTTTTAATAATTGATAATTCAAAAACTTTTTCCACGCCTTTCCTCTAAATGAATATTTATTTAGGAAATATTTTTTACGTATATATTCTCTTTTGAGATATTTAAAGATTATTTTTTTTACGGATGTATTTGTGTACATTTCGCTGCATGACATTAGCCATGGGAGAGGAGGATGTCGTGTAGCTTCCCAAAATAAGTACATCGTGGTCGAAGTGTATCATTTAAACGAGTTATTTTTGTGCAGTAGTACACATAGATTCGTTTTCGAAAATGCGTCAGTTACATCGGTATTTTTGATGCTGTTGCAACTATTCGAATAAATTATTGGTCCGAAAATATTCTACAAGTTTGTTTATATCGATTCAGCATGTAAAGCCAATTTCTCTCGAGCGTCGATTAAAATCGTCGCAAAATTGATAAAAGTTAAGGCTGCTTAAGAAGCCGATAAGAATCTGTTTCAATATCTGAAATACTTTAATTTTCAATAAAATCAATACGGAAAAAATATTTTTGCTGAAATATCTAATAATTTAGTTAGATACAGATTCGAAAATAATTGAATCATCAAAATAATCATACAGGAAATTTAAGCACGATGAGTAAGTCGCAAAAAGTTTTAACATTCTAGCAATCAGCTAGAACGTCTTATATGATTATTTTGATGGTCCAGTAAAATTATTTTCAGATCTGTATCTTATATCTTTAGACTCTTCAGAAAAATCGTTCTTTCCGCAAATAAGTTTAAATATATCGGAAAAATTCAAGTATTTGCGATAATCTATAAGTTAAAATGAACGATTAAACTTGATTTTTAATACACATAAATCCATATTCGTATCTCACTTTTATCGATAAATGCGCGCATGTATTTTTAAGATTTTATAGTATATGTAATGTAAACTGTATGCTAAATGTGTACATTCACTTTATGTATATTTACATTACGATAAAAGTGAGGTGTAAATACGGATCATATATCTACTTTATCATTTATGTGATAAAAGTATTTTAAATACATTATTTTAAATACGAAGCGCCATTACGGTCTGAATGTTAAGATGTTGAATTATTATATATATTCATATAAATGAATTAATTTCAGAAATGATAATTGTGTCGGCCGATTGTCGGACTTTCAACGCAATCAATCTGAAATATTAATAATATCCCAAAATTTTTCAAATTTAATTTTAAAAAACTGTAATAAACTTATTGCGAAAAATATTTTATTATAGAAAATAAAATTCTTAAGTATACATATATGCTATGATTTTATTTAGTTGTCATTTTATTTAGACAAATACATTCCGATATTTTTCTACCGAAATATATTCAAAATATATTCATTGCTTTCATATGGAATGTATTACGTTTAAATATTTACATGGCATGATTGTTGTGATTAAAAAAATATAAATCTAATTTATAACTTATATTTTATTTATAAATATAAATTTAATCTTTGATTTAATCTTTTCAGTGATTAATACCGTACTTATTCATCTTTTTATTTTATGTTTAACTCTTTATACATGATGAATGTTTTTACAATTTTAAACTACATTATTGAAAGACATAGCTTTCAATAATATATGGATATCTAGATCGCAGAATTTACATTCGTTATCTAAATACTAAATATCTAAAGGAATATACATGTATTTAGATGTGTTTCAAAAGCTTTGAACTTGACGCATGGACGACACAAAGACAGGTATATTGCAGGTGACATAAAATGTATTCACTAACCTTTGACTGGCCTGCCGGTACCACTTTTTGTTACCACTCGGATCGTTGTCATACTGCGGTGTATTAGGCCCCGTATTCTCCTGATCTCCATGTGCATTGCAGTTTTCAAGCTCCATAATTAGCTGTGAATGCAATTTACAACACTCAATGAGCTCTTTCTACTTGTGTTCATATGTATAGTCTTATTGTTAGCTGTAAATATAAAACACTCATAATTTATTGTACTTTTTTGGAAAAGGCAATAATAAAATTCAAAAAATACTAACGAAATAAAATTGTTATAAAAATAAATATTATTTCCAATATAATTGTTTCTTAAATTTTTCTTTAGATATAGAATATGTTTGAATATTTATATGAAGTGATTATTGTGATTAAAAAATATAAATCTAATTTATATTATATTTTATTTATAATAAATATAAATTTAATCCTTTCTGTTTAATTTAATATTGTACATAATTTGTTATTCAATCGTGAATTTGTGAGAGTGCTTTATATTTTTGGCTAAGGCTATATTTATGCATGTGCAGTGGTTAATAATATATTGATGCTAATTAAATTTACTTTAGCGGTAGAAGTTAAACAATTTTTTAAACTTATTTTCTTGTATTTAAAATAAATCTGTATTTATCTGTATCTGTATTTAAAATAAATACATTTATAGTGTTCGTGAATTATCGGGATAGCATAGTTTCCGTATTTAAAAATAAATACAGTTTCCCCAAACTTAGCATTTAATTCTTAATAAGAAAATAAGTTTAACATAAAAAATTGTTTAACTCCAAAATAAATTTAATTAGTATCAAGAAAATTCTTTCGACAAAAAATGATGCGGAAAAATATTCAGCTATAATAAATCAAAGACTCAGGTTTTATTAAACAGGAACAGAGAATTTGCCGCATAATGATTACATATTATTTGTTTTTTAAATGCGCGGTTTGTTTTGCCACATCGTCGCTGCAGAGACTGAATATTTTGCAAACATTACGATGTATCTTTACAGAAATCTAATACTGACCGACGCATTTAACTGAAGGTAATTAATTACTTGAAATATTGAAAGCTCCGTTGTTCGACTAAATAAGAAATTAATTATTGTTTTTCAGTAATAAATTAGTCAGTATTACATAAACAAAAAAATAAATACACAGTTGGAAAATATATTCAATTTAATACATTTTACATATCGCAAACGGGACTTTTTGTATTAATTTAACATAAAAATGTGTATGTTGGAAAATAACAAATATTATATAAAAAAATTAATACAAAAAAGGCAAGTTTTTCAGTAAAATTAATATTTGACACGTTAAATTAATATCTATTTTATTCATTTATTTTACATTTGAACCACATTATTTTTATGTTATTTGGTCACATAAATTGTGTCATTTTAACACTAAGAAATGTTTTGAATATTCCCCCCTCCCCAATTTAACACAAAATATTTAAATAATATAATCATATTATTAAGTTAAATGAACATTTAAAATTCAATACAAAATTTTAATGAGGAAATTAAATTTTAATAATTTAAATAGACCGTTTCCAAGATAAATATAAAATATTTTTAATCTGTACTGTACGCAAATAATAATTATATTAGTACTTCAAAAGTTTATATCTGCAAATCTATCTCAAGCATCAAATTTATTCAAAATATATTCTAACCTGGAAAGTTTAATATATACTTCAATTAAGATACTTCTATTAAATTAAAATAAATTCGATTTACTTATTATATAAAGTTGCTCTTTCGGTACATTTTAGAATATTCTTCAAAAGAAAATTAATTCTTGTTTTAAATACATAATAATAAGTTTATTTGAAATTTGTAATAAATATATTTTAAGATTATTATATTTTAAGATTATTATAAATAAAATATTCTATGTTAAATAAGACTATTGCTTAAAAAAAATGAAGGACAAATAAATAATCATTTTTATTGGCAATAGAATATTTTTCTGTGTGTAAACTGGTCAGTATTAAATTTTTGTAAGAGTAGGGAAAGCAATTCGTATTAAGTATTTGAGACACGAACTGCTTTTCCTTACAATACAAAGTACATTGCAAAATCGGTCTCGGACGGGTTCGGTTCTGACATCTTGTTTCTGACATCTGGACATGCGAAAAAACTCTTTACGATTTACGATCATCGATCAGTCGGTCACGGGTAAATGAAAAGAATTCGATGTCGCGTGTCAGCAGAGCTGAAAAATTAAATCTCGCTGAAATGATCTCTGCAGATTTCGATCGACCACTTAACCGCCATAATCACAACCCGCAATCAGCGCGAATATCAGCGGCAGTGTTATCGCTCGTGCGTTAAAATTACAAGTTAGATTATCATGACTGCTCGAAGAGAGAAATGTCACTGCTCCGATATTATATCCAGACAATACATCCAAAATTCACAAGATACAAGACATCTTTTAGATGTCTCATAATGATAACTCTTTTAAATGACTTATATTAACGTCTTGTGTCCTAATTTTGGAATTTTTTTGTGAGTGTATCTCCATAGAAGTTTGAATATTGGCCAATATTAATTGCTGCCCAATTTATTACTGAAAGACAGTTATTAATTACTTATTGGAGTATAAAGAGTACTGCTGTTCAGTAATTTTAGTATTTCAATAAATAATTAATTATTGAAATACTAAAAGTATTAATTTGACAAAAGTCTAAAATATTAAAAGTATAGAACAACAGTATTTTTTCAATACCTAAAATAAATAATAAATTAAATAACTGCTGTTTTTCTTTCTGTCTTTCAATATGAAATTAATCAGTATTAAATTTCTACAAAGATATTGGTTTATTAATTGTCGCAAAAAACGTGTGGAAGAAAGATAAACAGTTTATTCATGCTCTCTCTCTCTCTCTCTCTCTCTCTCTCTCTCTCTCTCTCTCTCTCTCTCATTCTCTCACATATACATACCCATACAGCGCACTTTATCCGAAGGATATTCTGGGAACATTCTTAGGACGTAGGAAATCTTCGAGAATGTCTATAGGACGTCCCTTGGACATTTGTACCCTATGGATCACACATACGCACGCTTCGTGCTGTCAACGTAAAGTTAGCATAAAAATGAACGTTTATTCTAGTACCTTGTTGATGGTATCTCTTATCACTTTTATGACGGATGCGAAAGCTGACGATTTCCGCTCACAAAATCGCTCGCGACGCTACGAGCTGTCATCTGAAGTTCAATAAGCAGAACCGATGATCAACCGCCGCACCCTATCACGATGCAGCTTCACAGAATACTGAGGTCAATTCACTGAACTGGCGACCTCGGCCAGCAGGTATACCAATCAATTGCGGCGAAAAATCCCTAGGTCGAACTCGATGCACGGCGCCCAATCGGTATGACAAAAATAAAAAAAGAAGGGCATTTTTACGATCGAATCAATTAGAAATCGATCGCGAAGTACGTAATAAATAAAAGCCGTGTTAGCAAAATGTTTATTTTTCATATGTTGGAAATTTTTGCTGAGGTAGGATTATTTCCTAAAAGTATAATCTAATCAGCACGAAGAAAACGACAATTTCAACAGTTGTAAAATAAACATTCTGCTAAAACGATTAAAGATATTTATTTGCGGAAAATGCATTATTTGCGATATGACCAGCAGTGACACGAAACATTTCTTGTTATGGCAGCATTGTCGAACGCGCGAAAATGCAAAATGCAAATTGGCAGATGATAGAATTGGAGTAAATGATAGAAGTTTAAACCTTAATATAGAAAGAAGAAGAGACAATCATGAGAGCATGCAAAAATGCATCTTTAGAATCGAAAAGGAAAACAAAGAGAATTCTTATGTTTCTAGAACAACGATAATTCTCGATGAAAGTTTCTCGATAAAAGTTTTGCGCAGTAATGTTTCAATAGACGTAGCCTGTATTTCTTCCGGACGTATTTTAAGAAGTAATATATGTGTATGTTGTGTAATTTGCATTTTGTAATGTAATTCGTATTGTCTTTAGAGGCTCTTTACTCGATCCAGTTTACGTTTTTATTTATTTTATTTATTTATTTTTTATTCTTATTTGTCTAACAGTAACTTCTCGAAGTTGGGAAGAAAGTTGATGAATATAAATCATTAATAATATAATGTCATAATTAATGTAATAAATTATTCATTAATACGTAAATGTAATAATTAATATAATAAATCATTAATAATAAATATAATAATTAAAAAGGATAAACACCGGGATTGATTCTAGGAAAGCGCTCGCGTCATATCTTTGTAATGGATTCTTTTATTTCTATCAATCAATGTAGATTAACTTTATCTCGGTGTACTCTTTATCTTTATCTAATTCTTAGAATTAAAAGAAAAAAAATAAAGACAAATTAAATCTAGATTAAAGTTAATCTATATTGGTAGAAATGGGGATTAGAGTTACTTAGACTCCAATTAACTTAATCGGCAATTATTAATTTGAAAGTTATTTAAAACCAAGATTAATATACAATTTTATATTATAATTTATTATTTGTAATCTTTTTTTATATGTAAAATGCAACAAAAAATTCCTTGATAACGAAATAATACAGATACTGCTTATTTTCTATAATAACAATACAATTCGAAAAACAAAGTTTTCCAGAAAATGAGTTTAAATGTTTTGAATCATTAAAATATTGTAATACTAATTTTGAAATGCAATTTTAATATAATAATTGATTATAGAGGAATAAAAATATATTATTTTAAAGTATGTTCTTTCTTATTTTCTTTATCTCTATCCTTATATCTCTATCCTTTGTCTGAAAAAAGTTTAAAATGACAATTTTTGAGTTATTGTAGCAAATAAACCATCATAATCATCAATTAAGTTAATCGAAGTTTATTGAAGTCACTCCTATGTGCAATTGGACGTTGTCAAACATAAATTGCACAAATCGCATCGCGCTACGAAGAAAAGATACTCCCCTTCTCCCTGTTCTCTTCTAGAATATACAAAGTGGCATTCTTTCCAAAAATAATTTTAACGTCAAACGGGGTTTCACGTATTAAAGATGTAAAGAATTAACGAAAGAAAGATGCGTCGAATTGTTTCTCTTCTCTTCTCTTCAGCAATTCTTCTTCAGATTTGGCGACATGCACAGGAATCATCGGAGAAGATCATCCGCTATGCGGATCAAGGATCATTTTACGAAGGTGGAGGGTAGTAGCGACACAGTATAATTAAACAATAAATGATGCACCTGTCGGATGGTCGAGGCGCGAATAATGCTTGGCGCGGTGCGACCCATGGAAACATCGCCGCCGTCGCCGTCGCCATCGCCGTTGCCGTCGGCGACGGAGGCCAAGCCCGTTCGTGGCGCCGTGCGTAACCCGTCGTCGCTTCGTCGTCGTCGGCTGAGCGCCGAGATCCACGGTGTAGCGGCGGCGGCGGCGGTAGTAGGAGTAGCAGTAGTAGGAGGAAAAGAGAAAGGAGGTAAAAGTCCGTGTCTAGCGATCCTCGCGAGCCTCCACCACGCGTACGCGCCGTTTATCATCGTGACTGTGGTCAACTCGTTGACGTCGTCGTCGGCGACGAACACCGCGGAGCGGGTGTCGCGGATGACAGCCCGTCGCCGTCGCCGTGAACGTGAAATGATTACATCGCTCGCGATCGGTCATCGCGTATTGCGTAAAACTAATCCGATTTAGGCGGCGACCTCGCGCTGCACTCTCTTCGTGCAGCCCTCCTCCTCCTCTCCTCCGACGACTTCCGTCATCGTCGCGATTACGTTACGTCCGTCACGTTTCCGCGGCGCATCTCGGACCTCCGTCAATTCCCCGTCTTGATGTGGGTCTCTTTAGGCTCTTACGCTTACCGGAGGGGATCCACCGTCATCGCGATCGCGTCGCAGTGAGATCGCTTCTGACGACGCGAAAGGGGACTGGGGAAGGTGGGAAAGGGCGAGAGGAAAGGGGAGAAGGAATCACCCCGCGATAGGGATAAGGACAGGACAGAGGGACAGTAGGGACACGCTTGACACGCAGTCTCCTTTCGCTCTGCGCTTCCGCTGATTCCGCTCTCACCTCTCACCTTCACGGTACGCTCCTCTCGCTGCCTCTCGCGAGAGCGATGCGTCGCGCGGCGGTGCGCGGATCGCGCTGGTGAGGAAGTTTAACGCGACGCCTCGCCCAACCCACTTTCGACTTTCGTGGTGACCGCTCCGGGTTGTGCGCGTCCCCGAGCCATGTATCCGCGGTGATATTCGCGCGGCTTCCTCGAGCATTTTTCCCTCTCCCAGCTCGACAAGTGGAGTTCCTGGATATCGCGTCGCGTTGCGTCGTCCCGCTTCGCCTCGCCCACTGAACGCCTTGAACGGGTATGAAATTTTGCGGGACGACGGTGGACTCTGACGGAGTTCTCGGACTGTCTCGGAGTAGCGCGTCCACATAACCTTTATGCCACCAGAAGCGCAACGTTCGTTTTCTCTATTTTCCCTGCCGAGTGATGTATCGACCATCGACCGCGACGATTCGGTTCCGTCATCGTTGTCGTCGTCCCGTCGGATTTCGCCTCACGGAATCGACACCGCGGCCGCGACGTTGAACGGTCCCGTTGAGGACGGTGCCACCCCCGTCGTTGCGAATCCATTTCTCTCATTTGTTGCGCCGCGCCTCCCACATCACATGCGAACATACGTGTTCATCTTGCTCTACCTGACGATGTTTAGTTTCATTCTGTTCTGTATACTTCTGTTCTCACGCATTGTTATTTCGCGGATACAATCTGTACCTTTGAGTTTTTATAGTTAATAAATTTGGTTCTCACCCACGCAAGCAGTTTTGTGTTTTCATTTCGTACATACACACACACACATACACATACACACACACACACACACACACACACACACACATTCGCACGTACCATCCCATTTTTCCTCACACACCAAATTCTGCACAGATTCTCAAGTTCCGTAAGTATACAATTGAGAGAAGGAGAATCTTGCGTTTCGATCACACACACATTTTTCCGTCGAGGATTTTTTCTTTCAGCTGTATGTTATGATTTCCTAATTTTTGCTGAACCAGTCGAAAGTGCAATTTACTTTGTCTAAGATTGTTAGAAAATATCTGGAAATTCGATTACTGAAAATAAAATCGATCATATCAGTGTGAGAGCTTATGAGATCGATTTTTTTTTTAATTATTTACACATTCTGTAGCTGAATGAGAAGAGCGACATGATATCCATGGTAATCATCTTCTGCTGATTATCAAAACGATGGTGCATTAAAGAGCTTGACGTACGTGGATTAAGTAATCAAGGGAACTCATCACACAAGTTGAGAAAATGAATAATCAAGCGTTTAGTTTGGCGGAGAGGCTCATACCTTCGACCTATGTGCAGCAGGGCCTGAACGCCAAGAAGTCTCGCGAGAACCTTATACGGCATTTTATCGAACATGTAAGTCGTGAGAAAGCGAGCTTCTCAGTAAATGTCAATTAGCATTATATCAATATTTAATATAATTTTCTACTCAACAATACAAAGATAATATAACACATGTTGTACATAATAATTACATTCCAGATAGCCAAACTAGTCAAGGATCAGTATTGCAGACTACAGGCTTTTCAGCAAGAGACACAGATAATCTAGGCTGCGTTCATTAGAGAAAACTAGTCAGTTAATACTTAGTCATTCTTTAATATGATTGAATTCTACACTTAGATTCAGCAAAAAACTAAAAACAAGAAATAATAATTAAAGAATGATTAATTGTTTAGTTTTCTCTGCTGAATGTACAATTATAGCAGTGATCATTACTGGTTGTTTTCCAATGTTAAACAAAGATATACAATGTTAAACAAAATTATCACAATGTTAAATAAAATGAAATAATCATTGCGCTATACTGTGGATGCTTCCAGCAAGACACAGATGATACAGTGTAACACAGTGAATCATTATCTTACTTTCAAACAAAGATATCAATTACTATGCCACACTGTGTCTCTGGCTGTAAAGCACTGTGTTTTGTATATTGTAAGAGCTTTCCGGCAGAAAACATAGATGACACAATATAACATATACAATGAAACATTTCGTTTCATTGATTGTTTAACATTGACAAACAATAAAGATATAATAATTTATTATTATTACACTGTATCTCTCGCTAGAAAGTATCCTATGAATGTCTTATGAATAGAATTCCAACAATAGCCAAGTACAATTTGCTATTTTTCTAAGACAGAAATGTATTAAAAATCCTGCATACAACATAATGGCAAGTTATGCTGTTTTCTCTTTTTTGTTATTGTACATTTTTGTTATTGTACTATAAATATTGTAGTATAAATATTGTAGTATAAATATTGTAAGTAATGATAGTTTAAAGAGGACAGTGGATAAGAATCTTCTCTAATCATAATCAAACTGACTAGCGATTGTTGACATACTGCCAACATCTTACTATCTGGATTTTTCGAGTAGGAAATTATAATATTGATATTACTTCTAATTGGTGTTTGGCTTGTATAAAATAAATTCTAAGTAATATGTATCTTCTTGTAATGTGAAAAACAGCGAAAATGGCCAGAAGAGGGTTGGGATGACGCAACGATAGAAGCATTTCTGTCAGATCTATCGCAAATGGACAGCAATAACTTTCCCTCGAATTGTAGCGTCGGCGAACGCGAAGCGAGGATCGTATCGAATATCGTCGCGAGACGACACTTTCGTATGGGACACGGTATAGGAAGATCCGGCGATTTAGAAGAAGTACAACCGAAAGCTGCTGGTAGCAGTTTAATGTATAAATTAACTAACTCCTTAGTGCTTGAAGTTATACGATATATGGGTAAGGAATTACGCAGATATATATATTTAACATAGAAAATATGAGGCATATGAATTTAACTCTCCGAAGTCAAAATATATACAATTTAATAAAAAACATAGTTATTGATGCTAGGTCTGTGAAATCCGTTTAATTGACTAAAACTTTAGTTGACTAAAAAGCTTTAATGCCATAGAATTAAAGTGACATAATTTGTATAAAAAGAAATGAACTAAGTTTATTTCAATTACAATAATTCAAATTTGCAGATGTAATATAAATAATATATAGGCTTGCTTTTTTTTAGCTGAACTTCTTACATGGTTTATCTTTTTTCTTTTTCTTTCCAACATGGAAAAGAACAGACCTTATAATTGAATGGATCCAATACACTTACTATCGACTCCGGAAAGTTATATATAATAATTGCAAAAGAAATTATTATGCGTTTAAAATGATAGAAAAAAAGATTATGAATCTTGATATTAGACTGATCACAGAAAAGTTCATCAGTATCCTGTTTTTTATTTCTTTATTTTTTTGTCTGATTCTTTTCATTTTATTAGTATAAAAAGTCATTTAATAAGGATATTTTCGCTCACAGGAGTGAAGAGCATAGCAGGCTGCTTTCTATCACCAATGGCCACGGGAATGAGCCTAGTTCTATGTATGTTAACGCTTAAGCAAGACAGACCACGCGCGAAATACGTTTTATGGCCTAGAATTGACCAAAAGTCTAGCTTCAAGTCTATAATTACGGCTGGATTAGAACCTATTGTTATCGAGATGCAAATAATAGGGGATGAATTAAAAACCGACATGCAGAGACTGGAGGCTCAAATGGCAGCCTTAGGCGAGAGTGTTGCCTGTGTACTTACGACAACCAGCTGCTTCGCGCCCAGAGCATGCGATTCCGTGGACACGATCGCGGCCCTCTGCAGCCAGTATAACATACCACATCTGGTGAATAATGCATACGGGTAAGTGAAGGATGTACTATTTTTTTATGTATAAATCGATACCTTGGCGCTAGAACAATCAACTTTCTCTCTCGGCTCAAACGTAGAATTTTTATTCGAAAATCATAGAATGTTAGTTTTAGTCCTAGGATATCGAGGTACAATCCAATTGAAAACGATTTTACTAAATGTATTGCACTATATTGCTAAAAGCTTGCAGAGTACAAGGTGTATGCATCTCATACAAGAAGCGTCGAGAAAGGGTCGAGTAGATGTTTTCGTTCAGAGTACGGACAAGAACTTTCTGGTTCCGGTGGGTGGTGCTATTATAGGTTCCTTCGACAAGAATCTCTTAGATCGCATATCGAAAATGTATCCAGGACGTGCAAGCGCGAGCTCCGTTATGGATGTGATGATTACGCTGTTGAGTCTTGGAATGGCAGGGTACAAACAATTGATTGCTCAACGTAAGGAAATGTATTCTTACCTGAAAGAAGAATTGGGAAAATTAGCAACAAGACATGGAGAGAGACTGTTAGACACTAAGGGCAATCCAATATCTATGGCTATGACTCTTCAGTGTCTGAGCCATCAGCATGACAACAAGCAAGTTACTATGCTAGGGTCAATGCTATTTCTGCGTAACGTTAGTGGTACTAGAGTTATAACGACCACGGATTCTAAGCATATTGTTTCACATAAATTTGAAGGTATATATTTTTAAATATGATTTAATAATATTCTGAGAACATATTAAATTTTTTGAGATACAAATACATAATATCTTCATATAATTATGTTTAACCGAGAATAGTCACCTGATTTTTGATGTACAAGATTACTTGAGATGTTCTTATACTCTATACTATCAATTAAAATCATTATTATTAACAACATATTATTATTTTCTAATTTACTAATATTTGACAATTATATGGATATGGATATAATCATAATTTTCTGAAAAAAGTAAGTGGAAACTAAACAAATAAAAAATGAAGTAGCATGTTAAGTAACTTATAACGGTATTTTTTTAATAAAGATTTTAATTAATAATTTTTTTTATTGTGGGATATTTTCGATGGAATTGCATATTTAAAGGTTTTTAAAGAATAGTTATTAAAAGAGAAAAAATATATTAAACAATATCCATACAAAACAATATTTTACAATATATTTTTCATATTTTTTCGCCACTTGGTTGTAAAAATACCCAAGATGACTATTTTTGGGTTAAAAATATCGTATCTATATTTTAAGCATATATTTTTAATTTATGATAGATTTTTATTTTTATCGAAGATATTTCCGTTTCATAATATTTATTTCAATTACTACACAGGCTGGGGTGCACATAACAGCAATTACAGAGTTCCATATCTGACTGCTGCGGCAGCATTAGGCATGAAGAGATCTGATGTGGATGCATTCATACAAAGATTGGATAAAGCTTTAACGAAAGTAAGGAGACGTTCAGCACCAGTAACGCCCACTGCTTCACTCGCCGGTTCCAGCATCAATGGAGATGCAGGTGGTACTGGTGGACCAGGGGAATCTAGCACAGCCTCAACCAGCCGTGCAAGTAGCAAAGACAGTTTAAGAAAATGAACCGTAATCAACGCAACTGGCCAGTCCAATCAGCACATTAATATCAATTTGTAAGTAGTTTATCGCTTACAAATTGACATCCATAGCATGTTTCTGAGAAATGTAAATTCGGTATAATCGTTCCTTTATACATGTGTCAATCACGTTTGTGTTGACAGAAATTTTACAATATCTGAAGAAATTTAATACAAAAAATAAACTTTTTAGATTAAAAATTATATAATACATTTTTTATAGAAAAAAAAGACAGGAAAGAAGATGTACACATATATGGAAACATTTCTTTTTTAAACAAGATGTAAGAAAATCTCTTACTATGAATATTAAAAGAAACAATAATTTATATACATTTTCACAGACACATGCTAGATACAAATGTACTGATTCGTCTGCCCATTTGCGTTGAGATATTGTCAATTCAAACTACATACCAAAAGAAGATGAGAATCTTCAGACATTAAAGAGTGATCAAAATTAATATTTGAAAAGAAAAGAAAAGAAAATGACAGGAAACGCGAGGCATTCGGATTCCTATGGCTCTATTTCAGAAACAGATCTCAGAGAGAGATTCAAGTGATAAGCGCTGGCCGCCGATATAATTGTTGAGTATGTTCTTTGTTGAAATGTATATGCTATTATTTATAAAGACACAGGCAATATTGAATTCTTATAATTAACTCTCTTTTCATCTTTTTATTTTCTAATATAGTTTGATATAAATATTTAAGAAGCATGTATCAATCAATACAAATTGTATGTTTGTTTTGTATAATATAAATTCTTTTTCTAAAGGAGTACTATAAAACTTGCAATTCTGTCGATACATGTAGCAATATTCACTATTTCAGTTGTTTATAATACTTACCATGTTATTCTTTTGAAAGCTGTCGCATTTCTGATAATTGACTTATTTATACATTGCATTTTATAGGATTAATTGTTATTAATTGTATAGTGTTCTGTTTTTGTTCTCTTTAATTATATATAGAGAATGAGAATTCTTCTCTTTTATTTGAGCAGAGTACATTCGTATTTATGGCACTAGTAAAAATGATATATTATCTGTAAAAAAAGGAAGCAGTAGTAAAATATTTATGAAAATACATTATTAGGAAAATATGTCAAAATTTAGGTACATAGTACACATAATGACACAACGTGATATACAAATATGTTTTATCATTGGGTTTATAGAAAATTTATAATACCTTCGTGTATGTAGTTATTATATGATTGGTTTGTTTCCAAATTGACAAAAACTAGAACACAATATCGGGTTATTAATTTATTTTTAACGATACAGATAATATTATATTTAGTTGTACTATTATGTAATAAATAATAGAATATCATGCATCTGAATTAGAAGGAGTTGTTATGAATATTGATATTGTTTGGCATATTTAGTATTGTTCGCAAGCAACATCAACACACAATTACTAACTACTAACACACATACATACATATATTTATACATACGAAAAAAGTATGTTTATATGTATATAGATGCCTGCGTGCATAGGTATATATACAGATATATTCATACTTGCGCAACTCGTTGCGTATAAAGAATAGTTTATTTAAAGTTTCATGAATTTAGAAAATGGTATATCAAAGTTGTATTTATAAATATTTAATAGAGATAAAGGAGAGAAATAAACCGATAGGGAGAGATTATTAGTGCTGTTAAAGTTTTATCAAGCATGTATAATTTATGATGCCTGTTGCACTTTCTTTAAATAGGAACGTTAATTATATTTATATTGTATTGTTGACGTTTGGATTTCGTAGTATATGTACATTTTTACGTCGAAATGTTTAAGGCGAAAATTATTAGTCGGTAAATCCATCTGAAAAATTGACAAAATGACTGTAAATCACCGAGGTTTTCAAAGTTATGCAAAAGAAACAGCGGTATAGCATTTAATTATACGCTTAGTTGATGGCTTATTAGGATGGCAGTGCTAATCAAGATTTTGTGAAGCTCCTAGTAAATAATTATCATTATATTCAATACATTATCCTATTAATAATTATAGCTCTATATTTTTCAATTAATTATAGTCACTACGTCCCTTATATAAAGAAGCGTCTTTTAGTACATATGTATAAATATAATATACCTTTCCTTTTCGAAATTATTATTTATGATATTATAATTTACAGGGTGTTTTAGATTTCTATCTTTTATCGATGAATCATTTGATTTTTTTCTAGAGAATCGGCTCCAAAATAATCAAAGAAAAATATAAAACGTAGATCGGTAGGTTTGATGGAATCGTATAGGTACAGCAATACTTATACTTTTAGACAAGATTACATGTACATATATATAAGTTATATATCGCTACTGTATTGTGTACGTTATTACTTTTCACAATTATTAGTTACAAATTATATATTTCTTTAATTATTCATTTATCTCGAGGAAGAATATTACATGCAGAAAAAAATCTCTAAGATGTAGTAAAAGAAATTGCAAAATTACTGTTATAAGAGGAATATGATGCTATAATAAGAAATATATTGACATTATAATATTATTTAATAAAGAGATGCATATGTTGTGTGTATATGTATATACACATATATACGTGATATACATTGTTGAGCGGTCTTTACATCGTGATATCTTGATGTATCCAAGCTATTACCGCGAAAAATCATGCCATCTCAACACTATTATTTATATATAATTTACATCTTTATATTTAAGATTTACCTTTCACTTTTACTTCAGCAAGCAATAATTATAATATGATGCGTACGATTTCTGAAGGATTTCCTTTCATTCTATGCTCAAGCAAGGGAGACATTGGAATTTTCTCGAAGAACAATAGACAAATCAGCCTATATATACGTATTTATATACATGTATATATACATATGCATATATGTGTGTAATAATAGGAAACTTATATTCTAGGACACACCGACGTACGATGGGATCTTATAACTCGTATTCGTGATACATTCCTATGTAAATAAAGAAGTCTCTGTCTTTTATTTGATTCACCACCATTTCCAGCTGGATTCATCCAATAAAGGGCCAGCTTAATTTATAACATCATTATACATCTTCACGCAACAACGACGATTTTAAGGACCTAATTTTTTCCTCTCTCTCTCTCTCTCTCTCTCTCTCTCTCTCTCTCTCTCTCTCTCTCTCTCTCTCTGTCCCTTGAGTTCCATGTCCATCAGAATCGGTCTGGCTCTGACAGTTTCATTGTCTTTTTATATACGAAAATATAAAATGATATTCTAATGCAAACAGCGAATGCGTCGATTTGAGGAAGCATCTACATTCGCAAACAAAAATGTGTATTTATACATATAAGGAGTAAAATAAAAAAAAAATATATATATATCCAACCGACTCACTGTATTAAAGTTTTAGGGCGTCGGTAATTGTGAGCGAGCAATTAAGGCTTATATCGAGTATACACATATGACATGTAAGAGCGTAAAAGCGAAACGCGAGATAACTCGCAAACGTGTTCTCTGAATAGCATTTGATTTTTTTAACGATGTAACATCGCGAAACATGTTCAGATAAGTTCGCGATTCTGCTGATATTGTACATAACGCGGCTTTGACGGCTCATCCAAGCTCATCTTCGAACAAATTGTGGGAAGGAGAAAAGCTCATGAGCACTATGAAGGCGTTAATTCCCTCATAGGACATTTATTGTTGACCCATAAAAGCCGGAATTTCAAGCACTTAAGTGGAAGCTAACAGGCAAAAACGATCAAGAGGAAGAGGATTGTAGAATCAATTTGAAAACGAAATGGAGATGACAGGGATCTCCAATCTCTTCAATATGTGTTTCCCCTCTTCGGAAATATCCGTTTCTGATTTCCCTCTGGCGATTGGAAGAAAGACACGCTGAATATTAATCAAACGATAGCGAATAATTGTAAACGGCGTAATATACGAGCTCTTCCCTAAATATGTGATTACCGTGTAATAGTCTGTGCTTTATTTGTAATATACGCAAACTATTGGATATATAAATAAATTAAAAACTGTTAAGCGACGCACTTTGTTGACTTGAAGGGCGAGAGTACATTTGAAAATAATTATGATCGTGTTCCGATATAGTATTGAAAATCTATAGTATATATAATGTCATCTATTATGTATAAATTTTCAGTACTAGTAGTGTATATTGGAACAGAATCTAAGATGTATCGGGGTATAAAGAATTTTTTTTAAGTAGTTTCAATAAACATTTTTTTAAGTCTCATTAACACATGACATCAATTTTATAATTTCACACTCAAGTAATTCAAAATATAATTGTTAAAATATAACACAAAATTGTTACATTTATTGTTAAGTGCGAAATTATAATTAACATCCAGCGACCGAGCTGACGTTATTTATTATCTTGATATCAAAATGATGTTAAAGACAATTAATAATGTTAACCTGTTTGCTGAACATTGATGTTATGTTTCTGTTGGCTTATTATTGAATTGATAACAAATTGATGTTATTCCATATAGTATAGATGTTCAAGAGATGTTCTGAAGGACATTCTGAGAATGTCCCAATGCCTTGAGAGATTCTACGAAGCTCTTTGGAATAAAGTGTGCTGTATGGGATATTACTTAAGGTTTATATGCTGGGATACATTGTTTTTAATCACATTTTGTATAAAATGATTTTATGATATGTATGGAAAATGAGATCACTTTGAACGATTAGAGGTGAACATACGGTAATTAAAAAAATAATTGTTTAAAATTTTTACTATAGAAATCAAAGCCTTAAATGATCTAGCTGGATCTTAAATATTTGTATGATTCTTGTGTGAATTTATATACTATTATGTAGTTCTTAGAAACATGCGCCGAAATGAATTTTTCGGTCTTGAAACACTAACTCTACTAAACTACTGCAGTAATATTACAAGTTAAATTGACTAGCAATTTAATAAATTTTAATGCTTATTCGCATCTTCGAAATGATCTTAATAATGTTGAATATTAAAATCTGTAAATAATTAATTCTTATTGCGAAAAATA